CTAACAGACTACGATAAAACTTAAAATTAATGGTGATGAAATTTTAGATCTAAATTACTGCCCTCAGGCTTTAAATAACTGCTGTACCCAGGCAAGGGACTTAGACATTTTTCGCTTCATTTCTTTCTTTCTTTTTCCCATTTCATTTCTTATCTGTCACTTCCACTGCTTGGCTAGCTCCTTGTCCCTTACAACTGAATACAGAGTGACTCCCACTCTATGAGCCTGTTTGTTCTCCTTGCCTGTCCCACACTTCTCACAGGGCCGTGAGATCTGCCTCTTTGACCACACCCTTCCTCAAAGGCTGCTGAGCCCCATGCATACCAGGAAAGTGCTACCCACTCAGCTACATCTCCTAGCAGGCATTTGCTCTGGATACAGACACACTTCGAGGAAAGGAAAACTTTGAATAAGACCTTGAAAACCTTGACAGGTGGTGGTCTGGTTTCCTGGCCTGTCACCTCCTGAACACTTGTCCTATACGGCTGTGAGGGAATACAGATGAACAGACAGCTCCTGTTGCAGAAGCACCTTCTGACCTTACCAGCTAAGACAGCAGCTGGCAGGTTTCCTTTAGAGAATTTCTCAGTGCTGCCTAGAATTAAGCCCTTGGTGTTCCCACAGCAAACCCGCCCTTATGTGTTCTAAAGAAATTGGCTTTTCAAGGAGGACCCTGGGTAAGATGCTCAATCTTCATTCAGAATGGCAAATGGGACAGACATCGGAAGAAGGTGAAAATAAAGAACAAGAGAGGAGCTTAACACAGAGGACCTCTGAAAGAGTCTATCCAGCAGGGTATCAAAGCAGATGCTGAGACTCAGAGCCAAACTTTGGGCAGAGTGCAGGGAATCTTATGAAAGAAGAGAGAGATAGAAAGACCTGGAAGGGTCTGGAGCTCCACAAGGAGAACAACAGAACCAAAAAATCTGGGCCTAGGGGTCTTTTCTGAGACTGATACTACAACCAAGGACCATGCGTGGAGATAACCCAGACCCCTGTGGGTAGCCAGAGGCAGCTCAGTCTCCAAATGGACTTTCTAGTAAGGGGAACAAGGGCTGTCTCTGACATGAACTCAGTGGCTGGCTCTTTGATCACCTCCCCCTGAGGGGGGAGCAGCCTTACTAGGCCACAGAGGAAGACTATGAAAGACAGTCTTGATGAGACCTGATAGGCTAGGTTCAGATGGAAGGGGAGGAGGACCTCCACTATCAGTGGACTGGGGAAGGGGCATGGGAGGAGATGAGGGAGGGTAGGATTGAGAGGAGATAAGGGAGGGAGGGTGGGATTGGGAGGGGGTGAGGGTGGGGCTACAGCTGGGATTATTCACTGTGTAGTGAATAATTTGTAATAAATAAAAAATTATATATATACAATAAATTGGTTTTTAAGGCTGGCTTGGTGGTGTGTCCCTTTAGTCACAGTACTTGGGAGGCAGAGGCAGAAAGAGAGAAAGAAATGGCTTTTATCAGGCACCACGGTACACAAGTCTGTAATATCATTACTGGAAGCTGAGGCACGAGTGTCTTGAGTTCAAGGTCAGCCAGGATAACATAGCAAGAGCCTGTCTCAGAAGCACCTATGAGCGCCAGCTTTATATCCTCTCAACTCTGTCTGTACAGTGAGAATCCATAAAGGGCTTTTACTTAACTAAAAAGGCAATAATATTTTAAAGAAACAAATCTTATTCATATATTTTATACATATATTTTAATGTACTTTCTGGGACTGCAAATTCGGAAGGTTTGTGTTGACAATGGCAGTCACAGCCCTTGCTTGGCATGGCTCTGAATCCGGGCTCATCATTCGGTGACGGTGCTGCACCTGTGAACCCCAAATGCTTGCCAGGTTCGCCTGACTTGGGCTTTCTCAAACTGTTCCCTTTTCTAAAAATGTTTTAAAAATGAGATGTATTATTTTTAATTACATGTAGGTGTCTGTCTGCCTCCTAGTGTGTGTGTACGCTTACAGAAGCCTCTGGGAGTCAGAGAGGGAGTGATATCCCCTGGAGATGGAGCTGCAGAGTTGTGAGCCCTTCCCGACCACACAGGTGCTGGGAACTGGACTTCGTTCTCTGCCAGAGCAGCAAGGGTTCTCAACGGATGAGCCATCACCCTAGCCCACTGTTTGCTTTTTGGAATGATTTTCCCTTTAGGGAGAGGAAAGAGAAGCGGTCTTTATTTATTTACTTATTTAGTGCAAACTGTTTCATCTGTTTCCCTGAATTTCATGTTCTTAAATTTGTGTAGTGTGAATTTCTTCGTATCCTGTAAGAATGGAAGGCATGCCTGGGTGGGTGAGATGGCTCAGCAGATAAAGGTATTTGTGGCCGAACCTGAGGACTCTAAGCCCACAGTGGTGGAGTGATAAAACTGGCTCTCAGAAATTGTCCTTTGACCTCTACACACAAAACATAAATAAATAAACAAATCACACACACACACACACACACACACACACACACACACTTAATGAAATAAAAAATGAATCCAGGCAATCCGCACGAGCCTCGTGTGTGTGAGGAAAGGGACACTTAGGGCCAGCTATCTTTTGAAGATGCCATCTGAAAAGGGCACTAAGGGCACTGCGGGGTAAGAGGTCATGCAGAGGCACCTCTAAGTCCCTTTGTGTTTTACTGCCCAACTCTAAATGTATGATTTTGCTACTAAATAATTGCTTTTTCACTAACAGATAATTTGTGCTTTAGAAATACTTTTTAAAATACCTATTTTCTTAGCAAGTTTGTATCCATTTCTACTAGCTTGATTTCTTATTCTATCCGGGACTATTTGTTCAGGGAGCAGGACCCCCAGTGGGCTGGGGCCTTCCATAGAAATCATTAAATCAGGAAAATGGTCTACAGACTTAGGTAAGTTAATCTGATGGAGGCATTTTAAATGAGGGTATTACTTCCAAGATGACTCTAGCTTGTGTCCGGCTGACAACAACAATAAAAAACACAACATAACACAACAAAACAAAACAAAACACCCCCCCCCCAAACTGCTCTTTAGATAGCTTTAAAAAGAAAGAAGCAGATCCCAGCTCTGGCAAAGTGGACATTGTTGCTGTCAGTTGCCATCTCCCAAGAATAAGGGCATTCTCCAAGACAACCAGGATGGCGTTTTGGATTAAATAAAAATGTACATTTCTCCAAAAATAATATTGAATATCTTGTCCATACTCAAATTCTGTCCAATTGTTCTTTACAGATTTTTAACATTGGGCTCTAACCAAAGTTCATGTATTACCATTGTCCCTCAACTTTCCTTGGACCTGAGCCTCAGACGGTCCAGGCCATCCGTCTCCAGGTAGCTCCACTCTGGACTGCAGGTAGATTTCGGTCAGTTACTTCCAGCTCTTAACTAGTAAGCAATGCTTGATCCTTCCTCTAGGTCACACGAAAGTGATTCTGTGTTACGGCTCAGTCAGTCACACCTTTTGTCTTTTTTTTTGAGTCAGGGGTCTCATTTAGCACCGTTTGACCTTGAATTCCTTATGTAGCCTGGGATGACCTTGGTTCTTCATCCCTCTCCCCTAAGCCTCCCTGAGTGCTAGGATTACAGGTGTTCACCAACAGGCCCAGATAGGGCCCTTTCTATAGTTGAGTCTTCAGTCTTACATTATAAGCTAGTTACATTTTCTGATCTAAAAAAAAAAAAAAATCACAGATACTCTCCAAATGGACACGTGTTCTGGGTCATTCAATCATAAAAAGTATGGTTTTATATAAGTAGATTTTGTGTTATTTATTTATATGTTTTCTCTTGGTTTTATGTTTCTATAGAAACCTACATTGTAAATAGCTTGTTCTGCATGAGGCCTGTTCTGGTTCACTTAAACCCAAAGGCTTAAGCATTCTGACTGATTGACTGCCATAATTATGTTTTCCTCACCAACCATTATCTCATATAATTCCAATAGATGGAGCATTGTTTCAGAGGCAGACAGAGGAATAGCTTGCCACTTAGAAGTTTGAGAAAAGAAGGCGGGTGCGGAGTACATAAGCAGAACTTTTTTGGTGGTGTAAGACCCAAGGTTAATCTGTAAGCCCCATCTGTTCAAAGATCAGTAACTTCCTCAGATGCTGGAGTTGTAGTTCTTGGAAAGTAACAAAACCACTTGGGAAAAGACAGGGTCTATCCTAAATTGCCCTGACAGTGCCCGTCTAGTCACCACTCCAGCTGGGAATTCCACCGAGTGGGTCCTGACCAAAGTCCATCCTGGTCAGCATTAAATTAAAGCTTGCTTCAGATTTGGCTCGAAATTGTGGAACTGTGTTTCTCCTGTGACTCTCAAGACTAACAGTGGTAAGGATGGAGCCGCATGTAAACTGAAGGAAAAAGGGGGAGCTCTGTGGAGAGACCGGGGAGTCAGTTACTCAGACAAAGGCATGTGACTGGTATTTTTGAGTAGAATATTGTGGGAAATTCAAGAAACCTGTAGAAGGGCTTGGCTGTTGACACGGGGCTTGCAGCTAACCGGTGGACCCAGGTACAAATCCTCGAGGGATGAGCCCTGTCCCTGTCCCTCTCCCCTAAGGGAAGGTTGAATTCAGGCTTGGTTCTGGTTTGGGGCTTCCTGAGTTGCAGTCTCCTGGGAAGAGGGAATCAGTAGCCAAGATTCAATCAAGGACTTATATGGGTGGAAATTTATTAGGGCCAATTAACTTACAGGATCGACCTTTGCTTTTTAAATGATCTTGAGCCAAAAAGAGGAAAAGGGAAGCCTCCAGGCCCTGGACTGTAGATGTCGGCCTTGAACTCTTGATGTGCCTTGAGGAAGCCCGCAGTGAGAAGCAGCAGGAGGGGCCCAGCCTGCTGCTGCTGTGACCCAGGGAACAGAGTTTGCTCCAGCCTGGTGATCGCAGGACAAGGCTCCTGCTCTTGCTCTTCCCCTCTCCTAGTAGACTGACTGGAGACTGGGCGGGTAGCCACCTTGCTGGTTGTTATCAACTTCGATAAGAGCCAGGAGCTTGAGTACTTTTCCTCCCTGATCAACCGAGGAAACCTCGTGAGTCTTCTGCTCTGGAACACGGGCAGCTCCTTGAGTCGGAGATCTGCTGAGGGTCAGTTTCCCTTCTAGTTTAAGCTTAGGGTTTTTGTTGTTGTGCTGTTTGTTTTTGTAGCCAATTCTAGAAACGAAGTATTGTCTCGTAAACTATTTTTTTGGTCTTCATTAAGCTGGAGTACAAAAATTTCTCATGTGATCTTATTCACGCTGCTTCTGTGTTTTCTGTGAATAGAACAAGGAGGGAGGGAGCAGCTAGGATTTTCTGTTGCTTTTGTGAAGAGTGTGAGGCAGGCCTCTGAGTCCGGGGAGCCTTGGGAGGAGTCCAGTTAGGCTGCTTTTGATGGTGGCTCATAGAGCGTATATCTGCTCAGAGCCATGATGAGCTTTCTGTTTCTGTTTTTAGACAAGATCTTTCTATGTAACCCGTGGCCTGCTCCTCACTATATAGCCTCACTATATGGCCTGGAACTCAGAGTCCGGCCTGCCTCTGCGTGCTGAGTGCTGGGATTGTTAGCAAACTTGAAGGTCATAACCAGATTTCATGTCAGGTCCAGCCACCCATCCTTAATAAGCCAATTAAAAGAGCCAAATTAACGGTGGGAAGAAGAAAAAGGAGACCTATTCAACTTGGCCACATTGGAAAGAGGGACAAAGAAGTCCAGGAAACCTTCAAGTCCATCTTCAGAGCTGTGAAATGAGGTCAAAGTTTAAACTGAGGGTCAGGGGTAAGACCGTCTCTAAGCCGACCCAGAGTGTGGTCCCAGCCACCGTTGACCTATCATTGTCCTGTAAGGGGGTCTGACAAGTGGTTAGAGTGTGTGAATTCTCCCCCAGGGACATGAGTTCCCCCTCTGGCTGGTTGCCCTTTCCTGCTCCCAGCAAAAGATGACTGGGGAAATTCCCATTTCTTTGGGGTCATTGTTTCCATCGTCTGCTTGTCAGACTGAGACCTACGTGTCTTTTTGGAACATCTGCATCTCTGCCAGCCCATTATAAGATTTCGGGTGTGTGTTACCACAACTGGCGTGTGATGAGTCTTTTTGATTAAAAAATGTTTTAAAGACATTTGTGTGTGTGTTCTTGCTCTCATGTGCGTGTGCTATGGCGTACATGTGGAGGTTGAATAATAGCTGGTGGGAGCTGGTTCCGGGTCAAACTTCAGCGTGTCACACTTGGTGGAAACAGCCTTCACAGCTCTCTCACCATCCCCCTTGTTTTCATCTATAAGCCGTCCTTTCTAAACTTTACTTTATTTTATTTTTAATATGTGTGAATGTTTTGCCTGCATGGATGTATGTTCCGTGTGCATGCCTGTTGCCCAAGGAGGTCAGAACTGGGCATCAACTGGAGTTAGCAGAATTTTGTGAGCCACCATGTGGGTGCTGGGGAATCGAACCTGGATCGTCTGCAAGAGCAACGAGGGCTCTGAACACTGAGCCAGCTCTCCAGCCACCTCCTATCTACTTTTCCTTCTTTCTTTCTTTTTGTTTTTTAAGAAGGGCCTTACCATGGAGCCCTGCCAGCCTGGAACTTGCTGTGTGGACTAGCCTGGTCTGAGACTCACAGAGTCTGCCTCTGCCATCAAAGGCATGTGTCACCACTCCTGGCCCAGACGCCGTCCTTTGAGGTTAAGCCTACCGCTGGTGACTGGGCTTAGTCAAAAAGGATCTCAGGCCAATGGCTGCACCAGGCCAGTGCCAGCTCACTGGTATCTCAGTACAATGAAGAGTTTTGGCAGAATTAACAGATTCTGGTACTGATGGAACACTTTTCCATCTGTTGATATGGCAGTGACTGAAGGTGTGTATAGACAGCCTGATAGAAACTCTTCAGGATAAGAATGAAGGCATTAGTGTTCACTTAATGTGTTTTTCTATGCCTGCTCTAGCTCCCTAATAATGAGACAGAAACCTGCTAAGTTTGTAATAAACTTAAAGTACTATAGCTGGGCAGATTCTCATCTATTCTAACCCATCTATGCTGGTCTGGACTATTTCCCAGCTTGTGCCCTGTTACCTGTCCTTTAGTCTCACCCTGGCTGCTCCTGTTCAACCTTTGCCCCTATGGTGACTCTCTCATGGGGACCTCCTCCTCACGGCCAAGTGACCTTCTTCTCTTTCCTCTCTCTCTCTTCTCCACCTGGCACCACCCCACTGAGACTGCAAATCCTGCCTTAACTCCCCTTTCTCTTATAGGCTCTTCAGCTCTTTATTGACCAATCAGAGATGATGGAGAACAATTTTTGAGACAGAATTTCTTTGTGTAGCCTGAGAGGATGACATAAACTCCATTTTGTCTCCATTTTAGGACCAGGCCTGACTTTAAAAGAAAAGTCACCTGTCACAGGGATGAGGCCATAGGTCGTCAATTCCAGGAACAAGACCATAAAATCCTCTACCCAAGGAACAGTCTGGAGATAAACACAATAATGGGAAAATATCTTGTCTCAGAATGGAGCATCTGTCCTGGCCAGCCGTATCTCATCCTGTAATCAAACATTCATGGCACAGGAATGCAGCCTACCAACCACCTGGATGCAAGCCAACAGGAATTGACCCTTGTAACTTCCCCTGCACCCGCCAATGAGGTTTTAGATTACCTAACCCCTGCTAGAATTCCCTTGGTTTTCTATAAAAACGCTTGCATGCCTTTGTCTAGAGTTGCCATTTTGTAAAATGGTTTGACCCTTGCATTCAGGTTTTTGAGAAATAAAACGTTCTTGCCAATTGCATATGTGAGTGGTGGTCTCCGTGCAGTGATTTGGGACTTAACATATCCCAGGCTGTCTTGGAATTTCCTCGGTAGACCAGGCTGGCCCTGGACGCACAGAAACTAACCCACGCCTGCCTCCCAAATGTTAGGGTTAAAGGTGTGCGCTGTCGCCACGGCCTTGCTTCAGTCTATTGACTTTTTGTTGTGAGAATATTGTTATTGTTTGTTACTTTAGGTTTGCAGGTCTCAACACTGATAATGTGAGGCCCTGAAAGTTTAAAGTCTTAAATTCCCAGGGCAATGCAACTAGGGTCCTGGTAGCAAGGTCATAGGCAAAGAACCAGACAAGATAAAGCAGACGCACCCAGCAGCAGACCACACTCTTTCCAGACTTAGGTTTCCTTAGTAACCAGACCAGATGGTCAGCAGTTCCCCACCCAGATAAACCTCAGGGTGTGACTGGAGTCATGTAGCCTTGCCCCTAAGAAAACCCACAGGATGGCTCCAGCCTAATCTGCACGTAACAGGACACTCCAGGTATTTCTATAGGTCAAATGTCCTCCAAGTAGCCAGGCCTGACCATTTGTGGTTTTGGCACCTAAAACAGACCAATCATTTTAAAGGTCAGCTTCCCTAGAGACCCTCTTACCCAATCCTATAATGCCAAGGCTTGTACTTCCCCACTTGTGGTTTTTCCCTTTAAAAACCCTGTTCTCCCGGAGCAAGGGGTTGCTTGCCTCTTTGTTCCTGAAAGCTTGTAGTCCAGGCTTGAGCTTGTAACAAAACCTCTCGTGTGTTTTGCAATGGAGTTGATTCCTGGTGGTCTTTCAGGGGTCTCACAAATTAGGTATTACAATAACACTTTAAAGCTCTTTGCTTGGACTCTCCAATATGGTGGTGCCCAGTAGGCAGCATGTCTGACTAGCAGGAGATCAGAGACTGCAGACCAAGTAAATGGCAGAGCTGTGGACTTCAAAATGCCACTGTCTATGTTTCCCAGATGAGAGGAGGACATTCCACAAGCTAGAGATGCACAGTTCCAGGCACCCCTAATCTGCTCTGTGGAAAGCTCTCCAGTCCCAGGCTCCAGTCATCTGGCACCTTCTGCCCACTTGAAAATGACTCCTAAGTTCTAGGAACCCATGGCTTCAGCCTTTGGACAGCTCCCAAATACCAGGGACATAGTCCCAACCTCATGTTTACAGTTCTACCTATCTCCCTTCAGAGACCTGCCTGGCAATAGGAGCATATAGGATCTCGTTCCAAGATGGCGGTGCTCAGCATGCACAGAGTCTGAATACCAGGAGCACAGTGACTGCATTGTTTGGGTTTCCAGCATCCGTTTGTGTTTCCCCAGAGAGAGGAGGGTTCCCAGCTGCCAGACACGTTTCCAGTTTGAGACCTCCCAACTATTTCCACCATCCCAAGGATGACTCTGGATTCCAGAAACACACAGATCCAGCCTAGGGTTCAAGGCTCTACTAGTCATCTTGAGGAGACCTGCCAGACCTGAGGACCACACAGACACCTGCAGCCTAATCCCCTGCCTATAGGTCCACCTGGGACACATCAGCAGAGAAGACCTGTGGCTGTTCACGGAAATCCAGCCACTAGCACAGGACCCAGGACTCCCTCACATGCCTGAGAAGTACATCAGGCTCCAGGAAAAACCAGATGGCTACAGACCAGTGTAAGAAAACAATCAAGAAAAACAAGGGCAATATGGCATCACAAGAATCCAACTATCCTAATACAGCAAACTCTGAATATCCTAACATAGCTGAAACACAGGAAAATGAACTTAAATGTATGCTTATGAAGATGACAGAGGCCTTTAAAGAGGAAACTAATAAATCCCTCAATGAAATACAGGAAAATACAATCAAACAAATAGAGGCTTTTAAAGAGGAAATGAATAAATCACTTAAAAGAAACACAGGAAAATATAATTAAACAGGTGAAGGAAATGAATAAAATGTTTTAAGACCTGACAATGGAAATAGAATAAAACCTGACAATAAAGAATACACAAACTGAGGAAATCATGGAGGTGGAAAACTTAGGGAAGAGAACAGAAACTAGAGGTAAGCGTCACCAACAGAATACAAGAGATGGAGAAGAGAATCTCAGGTGTAGAATATACAATTGAAGAAACCGATATATCTGTCAAAGAAAATATTAAATCAAAAGATTCTGTCCCAAAACATCTAAGAAATCAAGGACACAATGAAAAGATGAACCCTAAGAATAATAGGAATAGATGAAAGAGATTTCCAGCTCCAAGAACCAGAAAATGTTCTCAACAAAACCATAGAAGAAAATTTCCCCAACCTAAAGAAAGAGATGCCTTTAAACATACAAGAGGCTTACTGAACACCAACTAGATTAGAGCAGAAAAGAAATTTCTCCTGCCACATAATAATCAAAACACTAAATGTACCTAACAAAGAAAAAAAAATATTTAAAGCTACAAGGGAAAAAGGCCAAGTTATATAAAGGAAGATCTATCAGAATCACACCAGCAGAGACTACGAAAGCCAGAAGGATCTGGACAGATATCTTGCAGATCCTAAGAGACCACAGAAGTCAGCCCAGACTATTATACCCAGCAAAACTTTCAATCACCATAGATGGAGAAAAGAAAATGTTCCCTGACATAACAAAATTTAAAGAGTATCTAATGCACAAACTCAGTCCTACCGAAGATATTAGAAGAAAAACTCCAACCCAACAAAGTCAGCTACACTCAAGAAAACACAGAATATAAATAACTTCACTACAGCAAAACCAAAAGAAGACAAGCACACAAAAACATTACAACTACCAACACCAAAATAAAAGAAACTAACAGTCATTGGTCATTAATATCTCAACATTAATGAACTCAACTCTTCAATAAAAAGACAGAGGCCAACAGGACCCAATATTGTACTACTGTATACAAGAAATGCACATCGGCAACAAAGATAAACTTTACCCCAGGGTAAAGGGCTAAAAAAGGTTTCCAAGCAAATGGACCCAAGAAGCAAGGTGGAGTAGCCATTCTACTATCTAATAAAATAGGCTTTCAACCAAAATTAATAAAAAAAGATGGGGAAAGACACTTCATTCTCATTGTAGAAAAAATTCACCAAGAGGACATCTCAATTCTGAACACCTATGTTCCAAATACAAATGTACCCACATTAGTAAAAAAAAAAAAAAAAAATTATTATTATTTTTAAATTTTATTTCAGTTTATTTAAATCCCAAGGGTGTTCCCTCTCTCCTCTCTTTTCCTCTTTCCTTCTCCCCTTCCTTCCTGAGAAGGGGAGCTCCCCTCCCCACAAAAGAAACATTATTAAAGCTTAAATCACATGTCAATCCCCACACATTAGTAGTGGGAGACTTCAATTCCCCACTCTCACCAACAGACAGATTATTGAGATAGAAAGTAAATAAACAATGAAACTAACAGATGTTAGGAAACAAATGGCCCTAACAGATATCTACAGAACTTTTCACCCAACTACGAAAGATTATACCTTCTTCTAAGCTCCTCATGGGACCTTCTCCAAAAGTGACCATATAGACAGTCACAAACCAAGCCTCAGTCGAGACAAGAAGATTGAAACAATCCCTTTCATCTTATCAGACCACCATGGATTAAAGCTGGAACTCAACAACAACAGAAACAACAGAAAGAGTTGTTCATGGAAACTGAACAACTCTCTACTCAATGACCCGTGGGTTAAGGAGGATATAAAGAAAGAAACTAAAGACTTTCTAAAATTCAATGAAAGTGAAGACACAACATACCCATACTTACGGGATACAATTAAAGCAGTGCTAAGAGGAAAAAGTTCATAGCATTAAGTGCCTTTATATAGAAACTGGTGAGATCTCATGCTAGTAACTTAACAGCTCACCTGAAAGCTCTAGAAAAAAAAAAAAAGGCCAAGAGGAGTAGATATCAGGAAACAATCAAACTCAGGGCTGAAATCAATAAATTAGAAACAAAGAGAAAAATATCATGAATCAATGAAACCAAGACTTTTTTTTTTTTTGGAGAAAATCAACAAGATAGACAAACCCTTAGCCAAACTAACTAAAAGTAGAGGGACAATATCCAAATCAACAAAATCAGAAAGGAAAAGGGGGACATAATGACAGACACTGAGGAAATCCAGAGAATCATTAGGTCTTACTTCAAAAGCCTGTATTCCACAAAATTGGAAAATCTAAATAAAACGGATAATTTTCTTGATAGATTTCACTTACCAAAGTTATATCAAGATCAGGTAAACAAGCTAAATAAACCTATAACACTTAAGGAAATAAAAGCAGTCGTTAAAACTTTCTCATCCACAAAAAGCCCAGGGCCAGATGGTTTCAGCACAGAATTCTACCTGACTCTCAAAGAAGAGCTAATCCCGATACTTAAACTATTCCACAAAATAGAAACAGAAGGAACATTACCAAACTCATTCTATAAGGCCACAGTCACTGTAATGGAAGTTTTCATTTTAAAAGCTCAGTTATGTTATGTAAATATGTTTTGTTTTAATCCCAAGTGTGGGATTTTAGTTCGGGCTTTAGTTTGTCCACAGCTGACAACTGCCTCCTGTGGGGTGTGGTCTTTGCCAATTGGTAACAGCCTGCCTCCTGCAGCATGAAGAGGCCTGTAGTCTAAGGTTCTAAGGGAAATAAATAGGAGAGCCCAGATAGAGAGGGTGTGGCCAGAGACCAGCTGCAGCAGCTTGGAGGACATAGACCGAGGAAGAGACTGCTTCCTATAATTGCTGTTGAATAGAGACTGGTATAGCCCCAAAAGAACCCACAACCCTAAACAGCCAAGAGAAGAAAAGGCGTCTGCGCCCCCTCTTTCCAGTAGCCTCTCTCCTCCCTAGAAATGGGGGGTTGAGAGGGAGACACTTTAAGAAACACCAAGTAAAAAAATAGTTTAAAACAAGCACAACAAGTAACTCTGACACACAAACCACACAAAGACCCAACACACACACAAAGAGAATTTCAGACCAATTTC